ATCGATAGATTGGTGCTCCGGTGCCGAAAAATATCTGAACAAAGCAACCAACACGGATGCCTGGTAAAAGGAAAAAAAAAAAACTACAAGTTAAGCCCGCAACACGGACCCGTGCAACATGGGGGGCTGAAAGTGCAATAATGGATTCCGGACGGTTTCCAGAAGTGTGAAGGGGCTAACTTGACTTGTTGTTGCTTTTTTCTTTTCTCACAAGACGGGAAGTGTGGGCGGGCCTTGTTCAGTGCGTCACGTACGATAGGTTATCGTATCGCGTGAGTGATTACTGTGTGTGGTAAAGTTCCATACCGTGAGTTTATCATATCATACACTTGCTTTGCTTGCTCTCTTTCTTTCTCTCTCTCTCTCTTTCTTGATGGGGGGAAGGTTATCTGGTCATGGTTTCAAGTCGGTGCAGGACTGGTACCGGTGCAATGGTATATATATATCTAGTTGGTATGGTGGGGAGGGGGGGGGGCATGCCCCGTCTGTGTGAGGTTGTATCGTAGTGAGTACGAGTACCATAGCCCGAGGCCCGGGGGGTTATGTGTGGAGGTCATCTCATAATAATGGATTTGATATTGTAACCGCCGCTTTGGGGCTGCCTTCCATCCATACTCTTCCTGATAGGTGCTTCTGTGGGTGTCTGTCTGTATGGAGTCTTTGGTGATCGTGACTCCCGCGGGCGGTGCGGGGGCGGAGGATGGCTGTTTTCTTGAGTATATAGGTTGGAAGGCACAGCACGAGTACGAGTACAGTGTTAGTATGATATGATTATATGATACGTTTCACAAGGATGGATGATAACCAGAATCGCAAAAAAAAGGGAGGGGGGGAGAACAGGATAATCAACTTCCAAAAGCTACCGAACCAAGATAGCGCAAGTGCCCACCTAGGTTGCCGGTACCTATTATATAATTCTTAGCTAAACTAACCTTCCATGCCACTGATAGACAGTACCACTCAAAACCTCTCCAGGCCTTACTGTGCCCCTAACGTCCTGACATTTGTGGGAGAAAAAAAAACCGCTATCACATATTTCGTATGATATCATACCGCCCAGATTCTGAGGCTCCAACCTATTTTTAGCATCTCACAAACGTCATGACCACTAGCACTTAGCACTGCTTCCTGAATCCCCACCACTCGATCGCCGGCTACGATCCGCCCCCAAAAAACACAACAAACCGATGACAAACAGCCCAGGCGCACACTACCGGTACTGTACATTACGCTGCAAGATCACCATACATACTGGCACATACTCGAGCACTCGTACTACTCGTGCATACCACCACCCCCAAACCCAAACCCTCGAAGCCAAGCCCGAGTGACGGCTCATGCTCTGCCGTTCCCTTCCTATCGTAGCCCATTTCAGGGAGAGAGCCCAATGACACATACCGGTACTCAGATAACTCATCTAATTTACAGTGTCACAATGCAGACGCGAAAGTTTTAGACGGACGACAAGTGAATGGGTGGAATAAGGTTGATCCGTGTGCCCGCCCGAGTACGCGCAGGGTGGGTAGGGGTATTTGAGAGATTTGTCGGGGGTATCCCATCCACTTTGTTCCCGACATTGTTACGGCGGAACACCGTACCGTGGTTGGGGTCCTCAACAAACCTAGCGATTGGTACGGTACCGGCAATCTGTGGTGCTTGTAGTATTGTACTCGTACAGTACCTAGTCGATGCGGTGCGTGGAGGCCGCCGCCGCCCACTCCGGAATATAGAATACAGCACTTGCAGTAGTTAAAATACTTGTACCCAAGTACCGGTAGAACACCAGTAGAGTGCCGTTGAAACAAGTAAGGCAAATGCGGCACAAGTGCGATAGATTTGCAGTCGTACCGCCCTCCAACCCTCCAACCCTCCAACCCTGGAACCAAACCCACCGATGCGGAACACTCAACCAACCTCGCCTAATGCCCGTCTCATGCATTATCACTCGTTGTTTTGCGGCGGTGCCCACCATTGGATTCCCGGACGGAGACCAAATCACACCAAAATTCTGGGTCACCGAACCAATAGAACTCAACCGGAGCGAATGGAAACATTACGAAGCGAAAAATGGAGGGAGAAGAAAAAATGCATTATCCCAAGCCCATCGGGGAAATGAATTTTGCGGATCGTTCTGCCCACTAGAGGCAGTCTGGTTTCGAATGTTTTTCCCCAAGAGCCGAGTACCAGATGCATAGCGCTTCATCTGCACTCGGAATGAAAATCGGTGAAAATCGTATCGTACATTTCGAACGCTTGGCTATCCCCCAAAAACTTATTTCAAAGTGCACCGTACGGTAAGGGAATCCGTGGAACAACAGTGGCTGAAAAATTCTTGCTCAAGTGGGACCTGGACGTCGTGCCGCAGGGCGACAGAGGGTACTGGTACTGTAGATCCCCTCATTCCCGTATTACTGTACCCGAATACAAGTACTTTGGAATAGGAGAGTGACACAAGATTCCCAAGTTGACCACCCGAGCGCCTGTATGATGCCTATTGGATAGAAAATTAATAAAAAACAGCACATCACGCGGGAGGTTCGGTTCTGTTGGAGATTTTTGTTACTTGTAGGTACAACCCTGTCATGGGGTGATAACTATAGGGCGGTAAGGGGGACGGGGGAGGGGTGGCTGTTTACCGGTATTCATGTACTAGAGCACTTGCAGTTTGGATTTAAACGGGTTTCTTCTCGGAGGGTTCGTGCAGCGCGGTCGGTTGGTTGGTCGGAGTGGGGTGGGGTCACCGGCGGGGTTGGATCGGGTCGGGATGCCGGGTCGGGACAAGGTTTTCGGCCGGGTGCTCTAGCGGTGGAAGGCATAGTCGCCTGGATATGTGTGAAGCAAGAGATGGAATCGAATGGAGCTGTCGTTGTTACTGTGTAGCAATGTATGAGAGCCCTACGACGGCGAGGAAGGAATCGGTTGGTGGAGATTTCGTCGGTTACGGGGAAGGGGGGTGTGTGAGATGCGGAAAGCACTCGTGCAAGTACCGGTACCGTGCCCCTGGTGCACGAGTACCGTACGGCATCTTATGAAGGGGGGACAAGGCTCGATGGAGAAGGGCGAAGGCGGAGGGGGAAATAAGAAGGCTTTCCCTTCGCTATTACCGGTCTCCCACCCGTGGTTATGAGTGGGGGTTCGCCTCAGGGTACTTGTACGAGTACTGTACGCACTGTTTGCCCGCCTTATTACAGTGAATGGGGTTGGAACGAATTGCGGATTAAACCATGATGCAATGATACAAACAGTCCTTCTTTCAGGAGAAAATCTCGCAAAGGGCCTGGAGAGAAGTCACTGCTTAGGGTGTTGGTCTCAGCACAGGGCTCTTGTGCTATCATATGCACAGTATGATACTGGTGGTTCAAACCAAAGTTCGGATGATTTCTTGTGAAGTTAACTTTCCCTCTGCCCTTCCCCCACTTCCAACCCTCCAGTGCCCCAATATCCCTGTTGTCTACGTTACTAGGCGGGGATAAACGGACATTCCGATTTAATATGCACAATCTTTCCACACGTTGTGATCTCCGGTATATTTTCTTTTCCCACTCCCTTTTTTTCTTTTCCCGAGGAAAAAAAGAAAAAAAAGTGCGCCACTTATGTACCAGGGTGTTTTGGAGGAGGAGGAGGAGGAGAAAGACGAGGAGGGTTTGCAAAACGAACTGCGTTCGCAGATCGCTCGGCTGCAACTCGCTCCGCCAAATGAAAGTGGGCGAAGATGTTGGGAGAGGACAAGGCAGAAAGAGGAGAATGGGGGAGAGTGAGAGCAGGAGGCCGAAGAGGAGTGAAATGGTTATTTCCCTCGAATATAGATAGATGGAGCACGGTATGGGTCTGTCTCTACCTTTGCATTTTTCTCACTCTACCCCCATCCTCCTCCTCCTCCTCCTCTTGTGAGTAGGGTTGGTTGGCCAGTCTCGTTTGAATCCCATCCGCAGCTTCTGTCCGGGGCTTCAAGGCACTTCAAATCTTGATGGGTGTCCTTGTTCATTTTTTATAGGGGATTATCGCTATTGAAGGCCCTCCGAGCCACAATGGGCGGTCTGTGGGCGAGGAGAGGTTGATGTTCTCGTTTATTGGATGTTTTAAGGGCTTCGTCGCACCGTGCCGGGGCGCGGGTGACCACTGTTCACCCAAGCCGAGTTGGGGGTTGAGGGTGGGGAAAAGCCAGGACCCTCTCGTGCTCCCGCTCCGCCAAGCTGGCCTCGCCACGGGTAGGACCGACGGAGAGAGCTGCAGTCGTCTGCAGAATTCCTGCTGCTCCCTCTCACTTGCAGGTCGGCGGCCTCTTCCTCCTCCTCCTCCCTCTTTCCCATTCTCCACCCTCCCCTCCTGTTCCTTCCTTCTTTGCTGTTGGGGGGTCTGTACAAGTGTACATACCGCTGCATCTCTGGAATTCCTTTCCCTTGTTTTTCTTCCTTTCTCTTCTCTCATTTCATCGAACACGCTGTCTGCCAGTTGACATTGTCTGGCATACGGTACGGTACTCTGCCGGTATCGTGCATCACAATTAGCCTCTGCACCTTTGACCGTGTTCATCCTCGCTGTCGTGTCGTTCATCCCCTTATTGGACAGCTCTGTTGGTCAGGTCTGGATTCGGCCATGCTGTGTTCTGGAAGGCAATAAATTCAACCTAGGGGGAATTTGGGGGAGAGAGGAATAATATCATACAATATTCGCTCTGAGGCAAGGAGGACTACCGTACGGTACTGAGGAGGAAAAAAAAAAGGAAAAAAAGGAAAAATAGAAAAAGTGTCCCTAAGAAAGTGCACGACCCCGTTTGCCTCCTATTGTTTCTGCCACCTCTTTATTTCTTGTTCTGTTGTCCACCTTTTCCTCCTTCCTTCCTTTGCCCCACGAAACATCCCTAACATATCGGTTCGTGTCCATTCGTGTTACATCCATCCTTTCTCACTCCTGGTATCGTACCGCACTGCTGGCTGGCTGGCATTTCTTTGCTTCTGAAATCCTACTGGATAATACATTTCCTCTCCTCCCACTCCCTCCGCACGCAACAACGTACGGAAAAGAAACCCCCCCCCCCCGCCATCCCCGCTGTCAGCCATATCACCTGCTCCACCCCTTGGTCGACTCTAGTCCACGCTATCCTCTCTCCACCCTCTGTCCCCGTTCATTTATCCACCCTTTCCCACCCCTCAACCCACCCCGTTCACACTCCCTTGTTGAAGCGTTGGCATTTCTGCCGCCCACACACCACAAGCCCCAATATTACACATACCTAGAATCGAACCCCCATCCCTTGCCCTCCCTTTCTTGATATCAACTGCTATCATATCACTTCTCCCCCCGTCCTTTTGAAGGTCTCGTGGCCCACTCTCCCCCCCTCCTGACCCGGCACTCTTTCCTTTACTGGCACTCCCGGATTCGTCTTCTTCCCAAAAGTTTGCTTTCTGGTTGTTTGATTCATTCGTTCCTTTGTTGTATTTCCTTGGGTCCTTGATAGGAAACCCTTCCTTTCTTTGGTTCAAAACAAAATATGCCCGGTACCCCTGTTGCTTCGCCATCCCGGCCAAGGTCGGCACTCAAGCGTCTGCCGTCGTACAAATCCCTTTCCTTCTCCACCAGCAAGCTTTCTCTCTCACACGTCACGCCCGACCCTGCGAATCGCTGCCCACCAAACAAAACCGATGGCTCCTCGAGGATAGAGAACTTTTGTTCTCACCCCATCAAGAGCACCAGCAGCGGTGTTCGAAGGCTCCTGCGAAAGGCTTCCCACTCACTTCGCTTTACGCACTGCAATGATACATTGGACGGTATGAAGGGAGACAAGTGTCCCGGTACGCTGGGGGATGGCGAGAGTGGTATTGTTATAGATGACAGGGACAATGATTGCTTCTATGCCATTGATACTACGGTCGCCAGGAAAGGTCCGTGTAGTTCGAGAATTCTTCGGGGCCTCCCCTCTGTTTGGCGGTTCGTCGCTGATCGTATTGCTGTCGGTAGATTTCGTCAAATTCCTTCCCCCCGAGATCACTGCCCATATCTTCTCCTTCCTAGACCACCAGAGCTTGGTAAATTGCGAACCGGTATCCCGCGCCTGGATGGCAGCTGCGCGCGATCGTCATGTGTGGCGCAATGTCTTCCGCGCTGAGCACGGTCCGTGGAAGTCGAAGCCCGGGAATGATTGGAAGAGGATGTTCAAGGTCAGACAGGAGCTTAATCTTAGGTGGACGCAGGGGCGTGTTACCGCAAAATATCTCAAGGGGCATACCGACAGCATCTATTGCGTGCAGTTTGATGAGTAAGTTGCGATGTGGAGCTTTTTGCAGCTTCGGATTGGCTGACCCCTTGGTGTTACAGTAAAAAGATTATCACTGGTTCGAGGGATAAAACTATCAGGATCTGGGATATTGGCACCGGGGAATGCATCAGGGTCCTCGGCCAGGGCTCCCGTTCGTTATCACCGCTACATATTGCGAACGGGGACAATGCGACACCACGTATGAGCTCCCCGGACCATCATAGGGCATCGGTCCTTTGCCTGCAGTTTGATGATGAGATACTCGTTTCTGGATCATCCGACTACACATGCATAGTTTGGTCTGTGCACACTTACATGCCGTTGATGCGACTTGCACACCACACTGCCGGTGTGCTCGACGTGTGTTTTGATAAGAAATACATCGTTTCGTGCTCCAAGGACACCTCCGTTTGCATATGGGATCGCAAGACGGGGAGGTTGTTCCGCCAGCTTACTGGGCATCGAGGACCGGTGAACGCGGTTGCCATTCGCGGAAATTTGATAGTCAGCGCTTCGGGTGATGCCTTGATTAAACTGTGGAATGTGGATACTGGAAAATGTATCCGGGATTTCACTGGCCACAATAGGGGCTTGGCGTGTGTTCAGTTCAGCGAGGATGCCAGGACAATCGTTAGTGGTGGTAACGACCAGGATATCAGGATTTGGGATGCTGCTAGTGGGGAATGTATCAAGACCTTGGTGGGACATCAGTCTCTGGTTCGCACGCTGCACCTGGACTCCAGGAACAGGCGGATTATCTCGGGGTCTTACGACCAGGTATATTATCTCCCAATATTGCCCGTTAGTACCCGTATCCGATGTTAACCGGTGAAACAGAGCGTAAAGGTTTGGGACCTAAGTTCTGGGAAGCTTGTCCTCGACATCCAGCGGTTTCACTCTACCTGGATTTTGTCTGCGAAGGCCGATTATAGGAGGATCATCAGCACCAGCCAGGACAACCGTACCCTGATGCTTGATTTCACCACTGGAATGAAAGACCTTGAAGTCTTGGAGTAGTCAGCCACCACCCAAGATGTAACCGTCGAATGCGCGCTGCCGAGACACAGACGCGACGGAAAACGTGGAGTGTATGATGCAATGTTTAGTCTCCTTTGTCGGTTTCTATATCCGGTTTTTTATTACTTGTTTCTTCAGGCTCCCTTTTTTCCGCCAACTGGAGCCCTCGATCATAGATTTACTCCCGGAAGAGGGTCAGTTGGTTATGGCGATTGGTGTGGTGTCAACTGTGCTTGCCTATTTTCTCTCTACTATCCGCTGTTTCAATACCGATCTTCCTTCTCTTTTTTTTAACGTCCCAAGTCGGGACAGGGGCGTACCGGGTCGTTTTCTTTTTGATATTTTCTTTCTCATTTTCTTTTCTGGTTCCGGTGGGCGGGAGGTAGCTTTGATATCTTTTATTTGGCAATTGTTCTATCACAGTTTTTATCCTCCCTTTTCTGAAATTCCTGTCTATTAAACTCTTGTTCCTTGCTACTTGCGCCCATTTTTTCTTGATTGTATCTCCTTTCATGAATCTGGTGGAATTAGAAAACGGAGATAGAGATTATTCTTTCACTTTTTTTCTTTTTTCCTTTCACCCTTTTTAATTGGACCCTTCCTTTTGTGCTTTTAACCTACAGCGCTTGTAGTATCTGGTGGTTGGCTTTTCTCATTTTTGTCCTGGCTTTCATATTTTTAATTCCTTTATACACCTATTTGGCGGGGTCCGGTGTGGTTTGGACTGTTGGTTGGTGTGGTATGACTTTATTCGGCAAGCGGCATCGGTATACTGCGGCGGGGTGGCATATACACTTGTTTAATGGTTAACCTGAGAGATATCGTATTACAAGCCTGTTGCCGCAAAGCGAGAAAACTCGTAGGAGAAAGCGAGGCTGCGAAGCTGCGAGGGCGAGTGATGGGTTGTGATTTGTGATGTGATTGGAGTGCGGTATGGTTCTCCCTGCGCAGGTTGACTTTGGTATGTATCAGATGCGCACCTGCCCAGGTAAACCTTAAACACGCTTCCCATACAGCATCTGTCTTAACGATGGCATTAATGCGCGTCCCCCACCCGATCCCGAGCCAGATTTCGGGCTCTAACCTCCAATGCACGGGACCTCATCGTACGAGTCGCGACCGTCACTCATCCTATGGCGGGGTCAGTGATCATATCACCATACCAAAAAAGGAAAAAGCCAACCTATCATAGTCGGAAAACGTTATTAGGTATCGTATTTATCTAAGAAACCCTATGCCCTAACTCATCTCTCCATCCATCCATCCATCCATCCATCCATCCATCACTCGCAGCTCACCGAGTCCCAAGAATACGGTAGTTATCTTGGTGGTGGTAGTGCGGTTGGTTATAATACTCCACACAATCCTTTTTTTGCTTGTTTCTTTGTTTGTATGGTGGTGGACTGCTATCAGGGGGGTTTTATATCATACTCTTTAAAAAATAAAAAATAAAAACCTTGGTATGATGTTATGACCCCCGAATATGGGGGTTTTTTTTTTGAAAAGTGTCTCTTTTTTCGTGAGCTGGTTTTAGTATGATATATCTACCTACAGTATCTATTTCTACCTTACCAAACGATCCCACACACTTTTTTTTTTCTTTTTTTCTTTTTCCACAATTAATCGGCCACGTAACGCTAAGATGGTTTTCTGGGTATTTATTTATTTATTTATTCCTTTGGTATTTCGTTCCCCCTCTCCGGCTGTGGTGAGGATGTGAATAACCGGGGTTTCTTTCAGTTCTAGGCCGTGGCATGCTCTTGATACTGCGTGATACTAGTGAACCCCCCCCCCCTCTCCTCTCGAGCTTGGGATTTCCCTCTTTCAATTTGGTTTTCTTGTTGAGTGAGTGAGTGGGTGGGTGGTTCACCCCAGATACCAATTTCCCCACTACCGTATGGAGTTCCCTTTCATTCATTCATTCATTCTCCTAGCGGAAGGGATTTCGTCCACTATGACACTGGGAATATATCTACTCCATCATCTTTTGCAAAACCTGACAGGATTGTTAAAACCGTATCATGATTAGCGGACAGGTGAAAGGGAATGAGTGCAGTCCTGGGCAACCTGTTCTACATACCTTGCCAATTGAATGTCACGGATAATATATTACATGTGGTCAAACCTGTCTCCGTCTCCCTGGTAAGTGACCAGTCCATGAACCCCCGCCGTGCAATCCAATAATGAAGACTCGCTCTTCTCTTCCGAGTTTCGCTTTCTCCAATTGCGATAATTGGTGGTACAAGTATGGTAGGATAGGATATATTTTCCTGAAGGTTGTTGGGCTTTCGATCCGTCATTACCACTACATATAACCATGCCACTTGAGTAATGTAGATGGACAGATAGCCTTACGTATATTCAAGTTCAGGGTCTTCTCCGGTAGGTATCATGGCATGCATAGCGCGATAGAGAATCAGAGCATGATATGATATGGTGAGACACAGCTTCAAGTTGCCCACCGTAGTCATCGCTTGCCATATCTTATTCCTTCTCCATCCGCAAAGAACGAGTGACCGGCTCTCGCTACTGGTCAAGTTGCAGATGGGGAAAACCAGGAAGTGCAGTGCAGTGCTGTACAGTACTGTATGTACCCATTTAACGATAAACTTGTGTCACATTTTACCATCCTTCCGGCTCGGTACCTTATTGGTTAGAATTGGTATTATACCGGTACTCGGGTATCTATACCCCGCGAGACCGCTGGAGAAAGTGCCCGGGTTGAGGACTCTCTCTCTATCAAGCATAAATAACTGATAGAGAGCATATATCGATGAAACATCTATGTAGCTTCCTTTTTTTTCGATTTTTTGTCAATACGAGTTTGAAGGGTTGTGGAGTTTCTCAGCCCAGTTGCATCGGATGCCTCCACTTTTGTCTATGAATGAACTTGGTCTCGTCGTGTACAGTACTAGTACTGTGCGGCGCACGCGCGTTTAGCACGATTGCAGGTCGGTATATTCCCAGTTCGTGCACTGGTACAGTATTGCCATTTCGCTCAGGGGCCAGTGGATGGGGGAATTGCTCTGCTGTTGATCACACACACACACAGCTATGTACGTTATGGTTCTTTCCCATCCTTCAAGTTCTGTGCAAGATGCGTTGGTGAGTTTTTCAAGCCATGATGATATTATACCGACGTCCGTCCAGCCCATCGCCATGGTATCGTAAATTTACCGTAAGGAATCTCCGTCAGGGGTCAGACATCCAGGTTTTCGGCCCCCAGAAACGGAGCTTTTTTGTTGAATCCCTTGATTGCGCCCTAGAAATGGAGGTAAACCTTGTCGTTATATTAAGTATAACTATTACGGTATATACTCGAGTACTGTGCCGACAACGCACAGCTTTTCACTCGTACCACCACCGTATTACCAATATTTTTTCGGTACCGACCAAACTTTTCCAAAATCCCTGCTCCCAACAAACTCCCGCTTGTCGTTACCGTACCGGTATCGTATAATACCGGTAGCCTAACCGCTGTGCACGCGCGGCTCCCGCCCGGTAAGGTTGACGCTCCCACCCCCCGGACCGACGGCCAACTGGCACCAATTGGCAATTGGCGCGGTTGGGCATGATAACTTAACTTAAATTACATACGATAGAAGCGCAGGGTTGTGCCGCTGCCGTACCGGTGTTGGCGTGGTGATGGTGATGTTGCTCGTGATGATCGGGGGGGGCACGGGTGCCATAGTTAGATTACGGGTACCGGTATTCGGGGATTACTGGCATCATACTGTAATACCGGTACCGGTATCATAGTAGTGGCTGTGGAGGTCAGGAGCCGGAGGCGTCTTGCCCAACTTACTATAATACCGCGCTGACAGTATCAGAATACTCCCTCCCCCTTCCAGATATATCTCTGCCACGGTGCACCAGCTCTACCGGCCCACGGGCTTGTCATCATCGCCTTCGCCTCGCAACGTGCCACACTCATGTATAATCACTCGCTCGGGGGATAATCTGCTGCAAGTTACCGTTATCGTGGATCACTCGTACCCCCTCCGCGCGCGTCCATCCACCCGTCGCATCCACCGATCGAGTACAGTAAGACGACCCAACTTACCGTCGTCAACCCACAGCACGTCCCGCACGGTGATCGCGATCAGTCAATTTTCACACTTATCACACCGCAAGATCTCGCCTCCCATACCCTACATGCGCTGTGCCGGTATTCGTACACCGTGCGCAAATTCGTGCGCGGCGGAAAGGGGGGAATCTCCCGGCTTCACAAGCTTGAGCACTTTTCCCAAGGCGATCTACCGGTCACCAAGGAATATGGGTGGTGGTGGTGGTGGTGGTGGCGACGTGCAGCATGTGGGTGAATGGAACGGATTCGTAGGTTTGGATGAATTCATCACTGCGCTATCACAGTACGGTACGGTATTCGTATTTCCACCACTCGAGCACTCGTACGGTACTGTACCGTGCCCGAGTACCGTACCAGAGCACCAGTACTGTCCGAGCAATACCGTACCCCTCCAAAAGGTTGAGGGGGAGCTGAAACCGGTCAAAGCTATTCTCCGATTTGTTGGCTTGCTCTTGTCAGACGGGTGGTGGAAGCTGAAACGTTGAGGGGGGAATATTTTTCTGGCGGCGCTTATTGATAATGATAAGCTAACGGGTTTTTCTTTTCTTCTTCTTCTGCTTCCGGGGTGGGATGGGGTGTGAAGGCCCAGCAGTCTGATAGAGGGCGTGTGAGCGCCAACCTCCAGCCCATTGAGAATGATTAAGCACCCACAAATAGCGGTAGACCTAACCCGTCAAAGAATGCGTCTTGCCAGTGTGATACATACCCGTGATACAGTGGTAGGAGTTTGGTTCAGCTTTGTGTGGCGCAGCTGACGATTATATCTGTGGCTTGCACGCAAACCATCTTTTCCCGGAAGTGGTGTGCAGGTCAACACACACACGCCGAGTGCGCACACACCATAAATTTATGTGCTTGTAGACTACGAGTAGTGCCGGACGCTGCAAATCGACACATGCGTTGATTCATAACCGCTTATTAAGCAGACACTCACTTTCCTCCTTGGGTTCCCCTGGTTTCAGCCTGGTGATAATCGGCATGTTTGTTACTGCATTAGGTGTAGCGCCGCCAAGATATTCCTAGATTCGGTTAGCTTGAGAAGCGGCGATCCGGCAGCTCTCAATCATAACAAGGCACTGAATCGCCCAAGTATCGCGGCAGGTAGATATTTCTTTAAACCCCCCCCCTGCATCTCTCTGGATGATAAAGAAGATAGTGTTTTTTACAAAGGCTTTCGAGCTCATGGGTCCTGGGTGTTGAGCTACTCGAATACCGGTACCGTAGCGGAGTCTGGAATCGGCCACATTTGGGGTTGGTTGGTGGTTGATTTGCATTGTCCGGCACTGTGGCGCGCGCGCGCACACAGGCACATACACACACACACCCCTTGAGGGGAGCGGAACGGTTAGATCTTCCTTGACGTTGGGGTTGGTGCGCTCCGCTCCGATGGGAAAGTATTGATTGGTCGGTTTGGTTTGGTTGGTGGCATTCCCGTGATTTGATGATTTGCTTTGGCCGTTCGGGTGTGCGTGCGATTGCCTTTTGTTGATGTGAATGACTGTATTGGCGACTGGTGGTGGTGGTGGTCGTGATGAAGATTCCAGGCTGCTCTCTAGTCAAGGAGTCTGTCTGAGGGGGGGGAGGGAGTTGATCTCCGGTCCGCAGTGCTCTGTTTGGACGATAGGGCGTGAGTTGATTTTTCGGCCGATTTGGGTTTTGGCCTGTGATTGATTGTCTAGAGATTTCGGGGAGATGGGATATCATAGGGGAGTGGGTTTGATGGGTCGAGAGGGGGAGGCGGATAAGTCGCACTGATTGATTGGGTTCAATGGATGAATGAAAGCGCAACATGGCGGACGGGTGTGCTCCTCCCTCATCAGGAGAGATCCGCTGAGCAACCAGCCGTTGGTAGCAGGACATGTGTAGCAGAGCGGGCAGAGCGAGCGAGCAAGCAAGCAAGTACGAGAACAGTACCGTATCATACTGTAAGCAAAGCCAAGCAGGCAGAAGCATAGGAATCAGACATACAGGAGAGACAGAGGACCCCTCGGAGTCCTCTCCATACTCCTCACCCGCCCTGCCTATCATAGACCACCTACCGTACCGCAACTGCACGGGCACTGTACGATAGATACCTCTCTCCACCTTGTCCCACCTCCTCCTTCGTCCTCTTCCTTCTCCTCGCTCGCCCCCCGCCTCCTTCCCCCACAAAGAAGGCCCCAAGATTGCATTTCTCTGGAAGGGCTTCTGTTGGGAGTTTTTCCGCGAGATCTCGGACAGGACTTTTTAAGACGCTCACGAAGCAGCTTCTATCATACTACCGGTACCCCGATCACAGTATCCGTCTCATTATCGCTCTTTTTCACTCCTGAATCCTGGTATCCTTCCTTCCCGCGTCCTGTTCACCTCACCGTACCGGTCGGTGCATTGTCTCGAGCCCTTCCTCACCCGGGTGCACCGTCTATATATCGTCGCTTTGTCGCCGGGCATAGCCATCCATCCTCACAGGTGGGTGCCGTTACGTCCGTCTTGCTTGGTAGGGCCCCTCCCCTCATTTATTGCACTCCGCTTCCATCCTCCTGCCCTCGCTTCCCTCTCCTCTCCTCTCGTTTAACCCACCCCGCATCCTATCCCTCCTTCCTCCCTCCTTTGCCCACGTCCGGCGGTGGCCCACTGTCCTTCAATAGTTGGTCCTTGCATCCTTCATTCGCGAGGCTTCCCTTGCCTCCTGTTCCTCTCGTTCCCCGTGGCTTCGGACACGTTCCACTCGCCCCAGTCCCGCATTGTGCTGCCTTCGAACCTCTCTGAATCCACGCACGACTGTCATTCCCCCCTCCCTTATATTCCCACCCCCGCTCCCCCTCCCCCTCCTCCACCTCCTCCTTTCCCTTTCCAATACTATCGTCATCCCCGACGGTCAGCCATCTTCGCATTCCCCCCTGCTGGTCCTTGCCCTTGAATTCACCGTATCGCATCGTCTTGACGAATCTGTCGCTCACTCCTCCTCGTTAGCCGAGCACACCCACACGTCTCCCTGACAACCTTCCCTTAGCCGTCATCCCGAAACGAAGCCAGCCGGGCTCCTTTTGCTTTTAGATTCGCTTTTCGATATACTGTACTTTCCATTCTGCTTACCAACCACCTATCTACCCACCCCCTTCTCAACGTTGCTGCCAATCACCGGAGCAATTACCATTACAACTGCCGATCCAGATCGCAAGTAACAACACACTAACGAAGGTTCGACGAGGGGCAATAAAGAAATTCTCGGAATTGTGAGAAAACTGCATCTGGCCCCACGATGTGAGTTTTGTCATCTTTAACCTTCTTTTCTGCCTCTTTCTCCCTTTCTCCCCCCCACCATTTTTTTCTCCTCAAACACCCATACGTCTGAACTGACCCTCCTTTCCCGCTTCTCCTGCAACTTTTCCTTCAAGGCATCACTAAACACCGTGGTCACATATCTAGTTTTTTACCACCCCTCTGCCGAACCATAAGGGACTCGGACATCTGTCGTTTTCGCCATCACAACCACCATCCATGTCAGCACCTGCACAGCTTCTGCGGCCAACGAATCCCCACAATGGACCAAGAGTTCCCCGCCTGGGCCTTTCGATACCGCCTCAGGCTAACTCGAGACCCGGCGGCGCTCCCCAACTAGTCGGCCCCACACGCGGCCCCCCTCAACTACGCTTGGCTACTCCTGGTGATCCTAATGCCAATGCAGTCCAACCAGTAGAGCAGAGACGCCCGCAGGCATATGCTAGTCCGGTGAGCACCGTTAGCAATCAGTACTCGGCTTTGAGTTATGCTATGGGGTTGAAGAACCAAGTGCGGGGCTCTCCGGAAACTTCTGTTCCGCGAACAGCTAGCCAGGAAGGCACGAACAAGAAGACTATTGACTGGGATAATGATAATTTAGACGTGGAGGATCTTGATGATGAGGGGTGGAAGAAGGCCAGCGAGGATGGGAGGATCGTAGAATTGGGAGGCTTGGGTGAAGGAGCTGGGGGAGCTGTTACCCGCTGTATGTTGAAGGGCGGGAAGACGCTCTTTGCTATGAAAGTACGCACAATTTTCCCTTTTATTCCGAGGTGGGGTTGAGCTGGCGTAATTCTACCCGCTAGTATCGATTATACGAGATACGGGCGTGGTTTGAGACACGTTGTGGGTGCCGGAGAGTGCCTATCTAGATTTTACCCTTTTTACTGACTTGGGTGCCGACCCATAGATCATCACGGCAGATCCGAATCCCGAAATTCGGAAACAAATCTTCCGTGAATTAAGTTTCAACAAGGAATGTAATTCGCCTTATATTTGCAGATACTTTGGTGCATACACGGATTTATCTTCTGCCACGATTTCTATTGCCATGGAGTTCTGTGAGGGTGGGAGCCTGGACAGCATTTACCGAGAGGTGAAGAAATTGGGGGGAAGGACTGGAGAGAAGGTCTTGGGGAAGATTGCTGAAGGGGTGTTGGAGGGGTTGACGTATCTGAGTGGGAGAAAGATCATTCACCGAGGTTGGTTGGCCGTGCGGCGTTTGTTATACTGACCTAGGAGCTGACTCTATTCGACAAAAATCAGATATCAAGCCATCCAACATCTTACTGTGCAGAGATGGACAAGTGAAATTGTGCGATTTTGGTGTCTCCGGAGAACTTATCGGGTCCAAGGGGAATGCGGATACCTTTATTGGCACTTCTTATTACATGGCTGTAAGTTTGCCTTGTGGTTATGTTTCATGTGTTAAAATGTGCTGATGGTTTTATTTAGCCCGAGCGAATCCAAGGGTTCTCCTACACCATCACTTCCGATGTCTGGTCTCTTGGTGTTACCCTTCTCGAGGTGGCCCAGCACCGTTTCCCATTCGGCGAGGAGAGTGACAGCACTAATGCTCGGTACAACCTAATTGACCTTCTTACCTATATTGTTCAACACCCTATTCCGGAATTGAAGGACGAGCCCAATCTTAAGATCAAATGGAGTCATAACTTCAAATACTTTATCGCTTGCTGGTATGTTTGTTAATCTCTGGCTCGAAGATAACTCTGCTAACCGCATGCTTTGCAGTCTCGAAAAGGACACTCAGAGACGCGCTAGTCCGTGGAGGATGCTGGAGCATCCATGGATTATGGAGATGAAGAACAAGAAGGTCAATATGGCTAATTTCCTTTCCCAAGTTTGGGACTGGAAATGAGGGGTGGTGTAGGGTTTCAAAAGTTTTTTTTATTTTTATTTTTCTAGGGCGTAAAATTGGGAAATGATTTTTCGTGTTCAAATTAAGGGTGTCCTGTTTAACTATTATTTGCAAGACGGGAAGAGAATAAGATATCTCTTTCCCGCTGCCGGCATAAAGCTTTTGTTTAACTCCCTTCTCATTTCTATTTCCTTTTTTCTTTCGTTTTTTCTTTCATTCCTTTTTTCCATTTTTTCGCTATTGGGTTATTTTTTGTATTGCATCAGGATGTTTTTTCTCTCCTTCTTTTCCCCCTTTTTTTCCCCGCCATTTTTTCATGATTATGTGATTCACGATAGGAGCGGGGGTGGGGGAGACTCTTGAGGGTCTGTAGTAGTCTAGAAATAAGATTTTCATAGTGTAAGACATTGGGTACTGGATCCCGATGACACATTGTCGCGGGTGCTGTACAGTATGGTATCTGCGGCGATGACCAATTATGCGGCACTGTACAAGTTCTGTACTCGGGCACAATATGGTATCATAGCTGCCGGCGTGTTAACACCTATGATGTTGTGCTGTATCCAACCTTGATGGACACCCACCATACCCAGCAGTATCAGGGGGGGGGGGCTCTCGTACGTTCCTTCGAACTTGTGATAACAAGCCGGAAGGGAGGCACTTTGTTGGTGTCCTTCACCCCTCCTCTCGTCCTCCTTTGGCTATCATACCTATGGTGCCGTAGACAGTGCGTCCTTCAGGAGGGAAGCCTTTCGCATGGAAGAAACAAGCATCTCTCGGTGAAAATAGAAATAACATCATAATTATCACTACTAATAACAATAACAATAACATTATTATTATTATTATCATTTTTGCCTTACTTTAATGGCATTTCCACGATTATATCACATCACAATATATATAAAACGCCCTTTTCCCCACCAAAATTACAATTTTCGCTAAAACCTTGAACCCCCCCCCCCCCTTACAAGCCAGACAGCATAAAGAAAAGCCACACCGTATGATATCATACCAAAATATCAGCGGTTACGATGGCTAACCCGCGGCAGCGGCAGGGTATTGTAGAGGGGGTGGAGGGGGACAAGGAAGGATTTGAGATTTAAGTCACCGTGGGAAGTGGTACAGTACGAGTACATGTACATGGCTGGATATGATGACCGGAAAGAGAAAAAAAAAAATTTAAAAAATCACGGTGGGTTGATGGATGATGTGGTATTATTATATAATTATATATAAATTGTCCACCTCCTGGAGAAAAAACTTCCGATGAATGGGATACCGGTGTTGAGGGTTGGGATTTTCTCTCCCTCCCTTCCCTCTTTGTTGAAGGGTTGTGTACTGGTACTGGTACTGGTGGAGGGCACCGTATTATATATAACCTGTGGGATGAAATAAAAATGCTGGGCGGAGGCTAGGATGTGGTGTTTATGGTGTATCGTACGGATCGAGGCAACTGCGATGGAAGTCATGTGTTTCTCTATTTATTTATTTATTTATTTGGCTATGATACTTTTTTTTTTCTTTTTAATTGCAGTGTTGGTCGTTTTCCATGTGGTTGATCGATGGTGGGCGCGGGTCGGGTGGTGGTTTGTGAATCGTGGATGCGGACATTTGTCCTGGGTGATTGGGTCGGTTGTGGAACTGGCTTTGTACTGTACGAGTAGTATCATATGATTACTCTCTCATCATGGCTGATTTTATGATGTGATATTCCGAGTCGGGGGGGGGGGGGCACTTCCGAAATGGGAAGGTTTTTTTTATATTATACAGTATCATATTATGGAAATTATAGTTGAGTGATATCTGATGATCACAGGTAGTAAGGGACAAGAATCAATTTTTGTTCTATGATTACTACAAGCTGATGTTCTGTTGCTCTACGCTGAGTATTGATCACTGTCTTGTAATTCCTGTGGTATATTCTGAATCGAGCTCTTTAATGTCAGCAGAGAATTTTCTGATACTATATCCTAGTACCGGTTTGCTTCCCAAGAACATTAAAAGTATTATAACCAACTCAAAAGAACTGGATATGGTGGAATATCGGTTTGAATACTTTTCTGTCAATCAAAAAGTTCTACTCTTTTTTTTTTCAATTCATAGATCTCTTACTAACTCTTACTAACTCTTACTACTTTTTTTCTCTGTACTATAAGAATTATCATTTCTACATATTTTTATTCTTTCTTCTTTCTCTATTTTCCTTTTCATACTAATCTATATATTAGTTCTATTATATCATAGCTTGTTTACTCTGATGTCTTAGTTCAGACTGTATTTTAAGTTTTCTGTTCACATACCTGCATTATCATGGTACTAGTAGCTAACATGCCCATCATATACCTTAATCTTCTTAAAATAAAACAGCATATGTCTTGTTATCTAGGCATTAGACTTCTAACTCCTATTCCCTTTTATTTAGTGGCTTGACATTCTATGATTTATTTTATAACCTAAGCTAATCAAGTTAATTGCCCGTATATTGGAAAATAGTGAAAACCCTCGAGTATTGCGCAACAGAGCTTATGATATAATACTCACTGGCACTCACTGCCCAGCCCTTAGAAAATATCATTCTGGCCTGGCTCTAAAGTGCCCGGACACCGTAAGTCCAAGATGGATATCTATCGTTGACAGGTGTCCCGATGCTTTAGAAATAGGCTAGGATAGTATGATACTACCTTGACATCCGGGGGGGGCTGGAGAAGCCTACCGTAGCCTAAAATCTATGGTGAGATGTGGTAACTGTACCGGTGGGCGGTGTTAGATTCTGGCCTTGATACCATCCTCACCAGACCTTACCGTACCTCGTGTTACCCACCGTGTCATAACTCATCCACCACCTTAAAAATGGCAGTATTGCTTCCATTCCCCTTGTGGCCCTCGGGTAGCCCCGGTGGGGGGAGGAGTGGACACGCCTATTATGATATATCTTGAGGTTCCGATTTCTTAGTCTTGACTCGAGATCCCAGTGAGAACTGGCATGTAATTTCAGCACGCAACGGCCGGTAAGTTATGCAAGATGCTGCTACGGCACGTATAGTACTGTATGGATAATGATATGGCAGTGAGTTTGAAAAGCCGTTCGAGCGATCCTTGACGCCTTCTGTTTTCCTCATGCCAAGACTCTATGATCGGCGCTTCCGCTGAGGGTACAATAGAACACCGGTACCCCGCTCGGGTGGGCCGCCACAAGATAGTTGCTAAAGAAAATAATCGTGTTGACACTTGCATTAGTTCGCTCTCATCACCGCAGAGGGGTTCAGCCCTGGGACTGAAAAACGCGATGTGAGTTTTTTCCAGGGTTCGGTTGAAGGACTTTGGCTCAAATCTCTCATCAACGAATGCCTTGGCGCGTGCGTGCACGATTTTGGCGGATCAACTCGAAACTTGGCACTGGAAAATCGCCTTCTTAGTCTCGGGCTGAAGTACCCCTAGCGTGGAATGTAGAACACCGGTACCGTACGAGCCTGGTCGAGAACCCCCTAATTTGGAAAAGGGGAGAAGAAAACACCAAAAGGCGAGCTGCCCGCCCCTCCAGGAGAGGAGGAAGAAAACGAAAAAGGTACCAAATCTTGGACTCGAGCACACCAGAGGGGGCGACTCCTCCATTGACATAGCTGTCGGTCCAATTATTCGGGCTTCTGCACTATTCAAACGAGAATACCGGCACGGCATCGTATTACGGTATACGAGAGCACCGATACCGTGCGCGAACCTTTGAGGGTCCACTTCTTGGCGAGCTCTTGGCGTTACTCCGAAAATGTTTCTCAGTGATGATACCAACCCCGGATAGGAATTGGCCATTCCGTATATGGTGTACTTCGTGCCTTTATGACTTCCAGCATTGGAGAGATTTCGATCAGGCTCAACAAATTTGTGCGAGTTTAGTCTAGAATTGGCCCTCTCCGCTCCAGGGCAAGAATAGCGGTACCCGTACTTGTACCAGTACTTTCAGCTCCACCAGAATACAATATTCTCGCACGAAACCGACAAAGTTCTCGCCAGTCTATCAATTCGTACCGGTACCATTGATAGTATAACCTTTTTAGCCGTGTTGGAACTTGACGGGAGCCTCGTTGAGGCGGGTTTTTTTGCGGCCCCTCCCGTCCCCACCGAGGAAGGCTTGATTGATCGATCTTCATTCCTATCCTTCTGTCGTTCGGCGGGGGAGGGAGGGGTTGCACAGCACCGCCTTGTTGGTTGGTGGGCATCGGGTTTTCAGAAATCCCCCCCCTTTTCCTGTATTTATCTCTCTTTGGTTCACCAGAGTATTCCGAGATTGGGAATACTGGACTGCTGTACCGGTGGCACCTTACCTGGTACCGGTGCAGTGCAGTATTCAACGAGAGCACGACCAAAACCGGCGAGCGACGAGCGGAGGGGTATCCGGGAGGCAAAAAGGTGAATTCGTCAAAGCACTCGTATTTGTATGGTACTGTACAGTGCAGTACTCGTACTCGCAACAGAAAATACCCGTTACCGATCCCTGTCCCTCCTCACCCGCCGCTTTTCGTGGTGCCCCCGCCCGGTGGGGGGACTGCAGCCGGAGTGCGGATGCGGTGTAATGGTGTAGGGTGGATGTTTTCTACTGGTCACGTCACAGAAAGAGCTCCCCGGCAAGGCTATCTTTGGTAAAGATCTTAGCTCGACCTAATGCCATTAACCGCGCTAAATGAGGTGCGAATTCTGCACACGGATTAAGGGAGGCAAACATTTTTCTTTTCCTTCCTCTCTTTTCCCTTCTCTCCCGGATGACAACCCAGCAGCCAGTCGCTGGCTCTGGGCTTCAGATGTTTTGACCGGATTAATGGGGCCGCAGAGTCTTGGCGGCTAGGCGCCAACCACCCCAAGCCAATGCCAAGGTAGACCAAGGAAGGCCAAGGAAGGCCAAGGAACAGCCAAGCCAAAAGCGGCTGTTAAAGGGTTAGACGCCAAGCGACATGACTTGGCAAAGGCGTGCGGACGCCCCAATCCATCGTGCCCCCCTCCCCCCAAAACCATGCTCCGCTCCTCTCCACCCACCCCGTAGGCACAGTAGAGACATATCATCAGGAAGAAGGGCCTTGTTCAGTGCCTATGTTATGTCTCTTTCCCCTTCCCCTTCTCATACACACACCCCCTTCCCCGAATTCGGTCCAATTCAGTCCAATACAATCCACTGATCCCATCCCACCACCCGTCACCCTCCCCGTAGTCGCCTCTTTTCCCTCCATTACCGTGCTGCACTTCTCGACCGCAACTGCACCGGTGCCCACACAGGGTCGATCAAGCAAGTAAAAGAATAGGCTGCTTGCTGCCCTCTCTCTCTCCGCTGCTGCTGTCTCGTGCATTTCAACCACAGTTCGGGGACAGTACGAGTACGGTACAGGACCTCCTCGCTATCAAATAGTCAGTGATCCGCCTCCTATCACACCAAAAAAGATCACTACTTGGTACCTCCACCACCATTAATAATAGCACACAAACCTTTTTTTCTTTTTTTCTTTTCCCTCTCTTCCCTCTCCCTCTTTCTCTCTTCGCTTTTACCAATTTTTCAACCTTGCCGTGCCTCTCTTGTTGTAACGTAACCCTAAGATTTACGTGCTTCACTTGCCTGACACATTCCTCTTTCCTCTTACATTTCGTTGCCATCAGTTCTCGTCCTCTCTTCCTCAACCGTTCCTTTCCATCGGGGTTTGAGCCCACCTTCTCTGCTAACCTTCACCACCACCCCACCCGGAGACCTCGACTTTCCCTCCCACCGCCACAACATCACTCATCTCCAACCTCCCCAACGACATCCCCACCCATCACCACCCTGCACGTTTCCAGTTCCTTCCTTCGAGGGAGCCAAGCGAAGTAGCCACGATAGATTCCATCAACTCCATCCTCGACCAGTACCACTTCGCAGCTAGCCCACTGCCACCCTCCACCCAAAGCAAAGGTTCACCGAGCTCAACCAAGCTGGCTGTCCCCCAGAGCCCGGCGACGGCGGCGCCCGTCGCCCCATCCACCCCCGCTGTTCCATCGAAGGAGGACACGAATCTCGCTTGTCAATGGACTGCGTGTCAGGAGAAGTTCGAGACTCCCGAGGATCTTTACGTATGTTGCTCCCGTCTCTTTTTGTGTCGACGTTGCGGCAAGCCTTGGCGGACGTGTTGTTTGGAGAAGAGTACTTTTAGAGCGCGGGGGACAGGAGGGGTCTTTATCCTTCCTTTTCAAAGTCTCGGCATCCTCTTTTTTTTTCTTATTTTTTATTTTTTCCCCTCCTTTTCCCTCTCTACACAATCACCGAGAGTGTTTATCTCATTTTTATCCTTTTTCCCCTCTACCTTCGTGATTTTTTTGCTAACGGATTTTTCTCCTTCGCTCCGGGCGGGCTTCCCTCCCCCCCTTTTTTTTTCTCTCTTCATTCTACAGAATCACCTTTGCGATATCCACGTCGGGCGTAAGAGTACCAATAATCTCTGTTTGACGTGCGCCTGGGGCACTTGCAGAACTACCACCGTCAAGCGGGATCACATCACCTCGCACATCCGTGTCCACGTTCCGCTTAAGCCTCACAAATGCGAATGGTGTCAGAAAGCTTTCAAAAGACCCCAGGATCTAAAGAAGCATGTGAAGGTAGGGGAGCCCCTTTCGCTAGCTACTCGAAAAGAAAACCCTTTGTTTTGCTTGCTATTTCTCCAATCCTCGGGTTCTCCGCTGACATCGCTTTATCGGCGCCATGTTCCACAGACACATGCGGACGATTCTGTCCTGCTCCGTTCTCCTGAGCCGGATGGTTTGGGTAGAAGGCCGTCCGCCGTTCACCAAGCTCGGGTTGGTTCACCCTTCCACCCCCCCCCCCCCTTGTTCCTGGGAACAGAAGCTTATTAAACCTTTCGATGTAGGGAGATAACGTTCATGGTCAGTATACCACTGGTGCCGGAATGCAGCGTGAGTTTCATGACTTTTGTTATCCCTTATTTTTGCCCCCTTTGAGAATTAACTCCGGACTTTTATACTAAGACCCTTCAAGCTCTAGCTGCGACAGCTGCGCAGGCGTATTACGGTATGCATTGCATTTCGCTGGATTACCCTCGTGCATTTCCTGATGTTTCACTAGGTATCGGCGCATATTATCCCAGCCCCAACCAGGCGCCCGGAGCTACTCCGGTATATTACTACGGCGCTCCCCAGGCTCCCCAGCAAGACATGGCCCAGGCGGCGCCTCTCAACGAGAACAAGAAGCGTGCCTTCGAGGGAATGGATCAGTTCTTTGATGACGCTAAGCGGCACAAACTCCAGCCGGTTTACGATGGAGCCATGGCGCAGAGGCTCTCTGCATTGCAATTCGTTCCGACCACTAGTGGAGAGGGTGTCGACTTCAACGGGCACCATGCACCCACCGTGACTGCGTCACCGTCGGGCCAGACCCAATATACCCTCCCGTCGCTCCGGACAAAGCAGGACCTAATTGACGCTGACAACTTTCTCACCCAACTGTCCGCTAATGTTTATGAGAGCCCTGCTGCGGCCGCAGCAGCTGGTGTTCCGGCCGCTGGGGCGCATTTCCCTCCACAGTATCGCCCTAACCAGCCTCCCTCCCCGCACGGTACTCCAACCACTCAACCGCAACAGCAGAGTCCTGGCCACACTCCTGTCGCGCACGATACTACCTCGGCCACCGCACCGGCCATACCCGCTACGTCTAACTCGACCGGCACTCCCGCTTTGACCCCGCCCAGTCAGCAGCACTCCACGCCTCCTACCGTCTCACCCCCGACTTCTGCCTCCATGTACCCAACTCTCCCGGCTGCGGTTACCAGTAGTGAGATGCCTGCCGGATACCCCGCCCCCGTTTCCACTGCACCCGCCACTTCCCTCGGGCCAACTTTCGAGTCTGACCAGCGCAGGAGGATTAGCGTCGGTGTATTACAGAAGGCCTCGAGACCTTCAGAGGATGCCGACGTTGACATGGGAGCCGATGAGATCTTTGGCAACTTGAAGAAGAACGAGATCAGCAATAACCTCATCGACCCCGAGCTTGGAGCGTTGTCTGGGGAGACGATGCAGCAGCAGCAGCAGCAGCAAGAGGAGGGCTCCCCAGCACTAGCCGAGAAAGATAAAATCGTCTCCTGGGAGAGGAACGTTGGTGTCATCAATAGCCTTCACGACTACGTTAAGGAGCTACTGAGGGGGGAAGACGAGAAGGAAAAACGTGGTGAGGGGGAGGATCACATCATGACGGACCATGATGGCGGTGTCGACGGATCAAACGTGGACCAGCAGCCACAAGAAGGGAATGAAAACGACGAGCGCGCCAAGGAGGAACAAACGGACGCTCAGGCACTCTACCCGGTCCTGAGAGCTGTCGCCGTAGCTTAATACCTTTTTTTTGTTCCTTCCTTTTCGGACGATCCACAGCAGCAAGGTCACAGAGTCATGACAGCTGTATCGGAAAGGGTGGAGGGGGTTGGGTGGAGGAGAAGAAGGGTGCTACTAGTCAGGTTTCGGTTTTCATTTCATTTCATCTCTTTCACGTTTCTTCTCCTGTTTTCAACCTCTCCCCTTTTCTCATTTACTATTACGATGGCTGGGAATTTCTCTTCACTTCTCCTTTGCTTTGTTCAGTTGAGTTACTTTTTCTTGAACCTCCCCCACCTCATTCTTCCAACTGCTTTACCTCTGGATGAATGGGTTGGAATTTCTGCGCAGGCCGGCCGTCTGTTCCATTGCGAAGAAATGAAAGACAAAAAAACAGGCAGGATTTTCAGTAAACTACATACAATCTTCGTCGTGAATGTCTTTTCCTTGTTTGCTCACCTGCTCTTTCTGTTTCTTAGACAGAAAACTACGAAAAAAACACCTTTTTTTCTACTTCTTCCTCTTTATGCTACAAAATGAAATATTGTCTTATCCCTCTTGCTCCCCCTCTCTCCCTCCGCCCTTGTGTTCCCGGCTCCCTGGCCGTGATGCTGTGGTTTCGTATCCTTTTTACCCCCTTCTGCTCTTCTCCCTAGTTATCTTGTCTGTTAGTCACGGGTTATTACTTTCTTGTGACCTTTTTTCATTTTTTTCCATTTTCTTCAGCTTACTGCGTGTTGTGTTGTTAAATGAACGGTTGTCTTGTGCCGTCCACTGGTACCGTGCTGTACCGGTACTCTGCCTGGAATTTTTATTATGGGTGGGTGGGTTTAATCGGATGGTTGTGGCGGCATTCTAGTGTCGTGTTGTATCGTATCGTATCGTGTCGTATCGGAGGGTGGTAGAGTGGTATGGCACCACGATGAATTGGGGAAGGGGGGTAGGTAGGTAGATGAGTAAAAGTCAGCAATTCATTCAGGAATCTTGGTCTGACGTGAGTTGAGTTGTGTGAAAACCGTCTTTTTAACTTACTTGCCCTTTGATGCATCCTGATACTCTTCCTCAACTATGCACTATGTATCACGAGTACGGTACTGTGCCCGAACGGTACCGTACGGTACCGTAGCTAACGGCGCCGTCTTGGCCACACCTCTCGCTACGGTACTCTCATACTGTACAGTACTCCCGGGCCCGTGCCCCCACATTCATTAACTTATCATGGTCCAATTCGCCCAAGCACCCAAGCAAACAAGCGGGAAGAGATCAGAAAGCAAGCCATCCCGAATTAACATTCCTGTAAAAGTCTCGGCATGTCACCGGTGTAGGGGGCGGTGGTAGTATAGGATAGTTTGGCAGTCACAGGGGGAGGTTTGCACGCACAATGGTTGCACAGTAGTAGATAGCTTGGCACGCACAACTTTCAGTATTGGGGAGAGGACTTTCATGTTTGCGCGGTAGATAGAGAAAACAACCTTCCTCACGGCTCTCAATTCAATCACCAGTCCTCACCTAGGAGGTTGGTCCTTTTCCTTGGTTCTCTTTCTGCTTATCCGCCCTATTATCTTTTATCTACCCAGAGCCAAGTCTACCTGCTCAATCTCCGGTAATAGCAAGTAGAGTTCCGGTCGTCTTTCTCTTCACGGGCGTGCATGGTCAACACACCATTCATCTAAGGGGAAGGTAACGGGACATCCCCAACAGTGGTGCTCTGAAACGGATTGGTGTTCAGTTTGACAACTTGCCGTCTCGTGTAACTTCTTTTACTTGTCAAGACAGATCCTTGTACCTTCTCCTAAGCGTCTGAGTCGGTTGTTTTGCACCCTGGACTCTAAATCGCCGCCTAGTAGCCTCTGCTCCCAATTGGGTGAGCCTAAGCCCAAGTGCCTAGGAAGAGTCTTCAAACAAGAAAGAGTGGGAGCACCGAGATCTGGTGGGCTTCCGGAAACGGATCAAGGGATTGATACCGTCTACTTCCAGAGGAAAGGCTACTGGTACTCAATACCGCGTCAAGTCTTTTCGAGCCCTACCGAGGAAGACACCCAGAGGTTCCAGTTACCGGTTCAACGGGATTTCGTACCACCGACATTCTTCGATAATTTACGGGGACTGTTACCAAGTAGCTCGAGCAGCCAGGCAGAAGATCCTCTTAGAGTATCAAACTCGAAGGTTATGGCACCCCCGGCAATTACCTTTTCCGGAGATAGTACGGTTGGAGTTAGGGCTTTCATCAGTTGGATGAACTCGTGGTTCGCGACCCAAGGAGAGGAGTATGCGGGTGAGTCGGCACAGGCGAAGAAGTTGAGAGTAGCCCAGATTCACATAGCCTGTCCGATCAAATCTGCCGCGGGCCGTTTCCTACGTCAGTTACCAGACTCTATTCTTTGGGATGAGAAGAAGTTGAGGGAAGCATTAATTGAGCAGTTTGATGAGACTGAGGTGGACGAGCACGCTCAAGAAGACATTTTGTCCATCATGAGTGGGCTCGAACAGGGAGAACGTACCGTATTTGCCTACTCGCGGAAAGTTCTCAAAATTCTGCAGAGAAAGCCAGCAAGGGTCAATCAGTTCGACAAGATCCTGATACGTTACTATATCGAAAGCCTTGCAAGCCAACGACTACGTGAGATGGCGATTTTGAGCTATCAGAAGCCAACCTCTGACGAAACGCCCTCCAAAGTTGTCAAAGCCATAATGAGATTGGCAACGCAGTTAAAAATGAAAGGGTATAGGAAGAGTGAAAGCGGCAATATCACGGGAAGTAGTGATGAGGAAGGGTCTAGTAGCGAAGATGGGTCTGACAGCAGCTCGGTTCCGATGAGGAGGTAGGTCGAAGGTACTCAAGACGATCCTCGAAAAGGTCCAAAAGACTCGGGAAGCGGTCTGAGAAGAGACATCAGGACAAGACGAAAAGCAGGGGGCGCAACCACGATGAGGACCTCGTTCGAAACGAGATAAAAGAGTTACGGGGCATGGTACGTGACTTGATGAAGTCACAGAAAGCAGTATCTCCAAGTACGGATATGATCACCAGACGTCCAGATGTGGATCTCAGTCCCCTAGACAGTTATACGATTAACTGGACTTATGGAGGATATCCCCTGCAAGAACCTTATGAGTACACACAGTCCAATCAAGGTGGAATAGCGATGCAACAGCCTCTGTATCCAAATAGACGCAGCCAGACACGTCAGTTTGGGAGTTC